ATGTGTTTACTCAGCTCTGCTGCCCTATGTGTGTATGTGTGTCCTTTCTCATGGTTCGGTTTTTAGTTTGGCAAAATGTTTATTTTTTTCTTCCATTTCGCATATTTGTTCATCTGGTATGCACAAACACACACCCACACACTCTCTTTCTCTTCGCTCGTTTTCCCGCTGACATACATTTTCGGTGCATTTGATAGAATAAACTACAAGAGCTATATGATGAAAATGCATTGTGCAAGTGAAAACACCTTTCGTAAATGCGGTTTGTTCTACAAAACAATGAAGAAAAAAGGCGCCTTTGTTTAAAAAAAACCCGATCTAAGAATAGACTTGGTGTTTTAAGTTAATTTCCTGGCGACCGAATGTGATTTGCACTTCATAGTGTTCGTTTTCCAACACGATTTCCATCAAAAGAGCATTTTCGCAATTGGATAGAAATTCAAAGGCATTTTCTAGTCTCTGTTCCGTTTCTTCTCCTTTTCTCTCTCTCTCTCTCTCTCTCTCTCTCTCTCTCTCTCTCTCTCTCTCTCTTTCTCTCCCTCTCTTTCTCTTTCTCCCTTTTTCTCTTTCCTGTCTGTGTCGAGTGCAAAGTGTCGAAAGAAATCTACACCGCAAAAAAAAAAAAAACGGGCAAACGACTCAACCACCTTCGAGCGGAATTAAATATATTTCATATTTCGGGTTGAAATGGGGAAAAAGTGAACAACGTTGTAATTGATTCAATTTCGGTGAATTCGTCATCATAAATTGTGTGCGCAAATATCAGATAAAAGTCGACCCAGTGAGAAACCTTTTCATTTCACATCCAAATTGAAATAGCTCACATTTTTCCTCATTCATCCCGCATCCGTCGTTTCTCATCTTTCGGCAAGCGATTATTTGTACAGCGGAAGCTTTACCGCACCGATATAGTTTCAAATATACAGTTATGGCAGAGTAGCAGCAGCAGCAGCAAAAAACCATGATTGAGCACGAAAAATGGAAAGGAGTGACAGAGAGGGGATGGGGAAAAAATCAGTTATTGACACGTCACATCACATTTCGAATCTCTCTTTCAATTTCTACAGAAATTGATGGAATGAACATGCAGTTTTATAATATGGCATCAGAGCAATGGCAGCACAGAATGGGCCGTTCACATTGAATCGATGTGTGTTCCCTAGTATTTGTATGTATTTGGTGTGTATGTGTTTGGTATCCTTGGTACTGGTTGCTAGCATCCACCATTTTCAATTTGCACTATTGTCGCATTGTTATTCAATCAATGGAAATGGTAAATCAGCTGCTGGCCATCCATTAAGCCTTATTTCGTTTTCAATTAATTTTACTTTATCTATGTTACACGAACCATTTGTATGCCGCATGAAATGTACAAATAATAGCATTATTTTCTATTCGTGCCTCTATCACCTCTGTCCTTCTCTCTGCGTCATGTGTTTGGCTGCAAGCAACTGTATATGTACCGAATGGACAAGTGTGTGTGTGTGTGTATCAGAAAGAGAAAAGCAGACGCAAGTCATTTTGAATTAAGTGAGAATACAGATTAATTTTGTTTATTTCGTTAGTTGGCTTCACTACATTTGAACATTGCACTGTATTGCATTTGTGATGTGCACCAAGTGACTTGCACTATATGCGAAACATGAAACAGTTTCTCACAATTTCTTTTTCCGGCAATTTTCGTTCAGTCGTTGGCTATTGCATGCTGCTGTTTCCAACCGGATATGGCACCAAATCAAGAGTGTGTGTCATATCTGCCGAAAATACAGCTTCAGGAATAATTCAATTCATTTATTAAATTGAATATCATTTGCAAACATTCTTGCTGATGAACTGAAAATAGCACTCTCCACCACCCAAACCGAGCAAGACAGTCTCAGCTACACTAAGAGTGAATTGGGTATCGACGAACAGCAGAGGAAAAAAACGCACCGAATGTATTCCAGTAATTAATTTACATCAGCGATGTAATTATGAGCAATATACAAACATAAATTTTTAACATGGGTGGATGAGTTGTATTTCTCAATGCATATGTATCCATTGATGGTCAAAATTATTGACGAAAAAAATCTTCGGCGATGAGGAAAAATAAATGTTTGTGAGTGTGTGATGGTGGCGGTGAAAATTCGTTGGCCCCTCTTTAAATCCACTCATATAATTGATTCGGGGCTGTCAAGTGTTTTCCTATGAATTTTTCCATCAATTTGTAATTTGGCCACAAATGAAAAGCGTCTATCGAGAGTGAAACACACACAGTTGAAATACGTTGATGTGGTAGCAAATGGACGAGTTGGGAATTCAAGCCACGTTATCAATGTCTGATGACCTGAAAAAATTCATCGACATTTTATATTTTCTTTCCTACTTGCACACAGCATACCATAAAAAGCATACACCAACCGAAATGACCTGGTTGTATCGTCGAAACAAACAAACACAAGAAAAACAACAATAATAATCAAGCAAATCGGAATTGCTCATTGAAAATTTAATCAAATTAAAACGCTAAAACATCGAAATGAAAAGCAAGGCCCATGAATATTCATTGATTCCGTTGTTTAAGCAGATGGCCTGTGGTTTGGCCATTAGCAAAATACCGTTAAATATTTGTAAATAGCAGAAAATGTGTGCTACCTTCGCGTTCTCGCATTGTGCATTTCATTTTTATATTGAGAATTTGCATTTTTTGCATTATCGCTTTTTCATTTTTGGCTTTCGTTGCGATTTGCGTGTCCTCTAATGCTGCCGTTTGCAGGAAGGGCGAACGAACGAGCGACCGACCAAACGAGTGTTGTGTTTGTCGAATAGCGTGAATGTTTATTTATCTCAATTGGTGTATTTTGTGATTTTTGGCTGATTTGATAGCGATCGAAGTGGTCAGAGCGATGGGAAAACTCAACGTCAAATTGATTGCAACTGACAACAATCGCAACATTCAATCCATTTTAATAGATTTTGTATACTGGGTAAATGAATGTAGTTAGTTGCAATTAGGCAAATTGCAAAACATTATGCGAATTCAGTTGCAAACGAACGAAGAGAAAAAAATCCGGCAGATCGCCGAGAAAGAGAAACAGAGAACATAGCATCAAAACTGCATGGCTAAAAGTGCATAGCGCGAATTTGATTCGTGAATGAATATGTTAATTCGACCTATCGTTGTTAACAGACACATGCAACGCGCTTCATTCAATTTCAATTGCTAAATTAAATTTTCTGTGTTGAATATCTGTGAATGAATCCGCTGTCGTCGTCGTCGTCGTCGTCGTCGTCGTCGTCTTCTCAAGCATAAAACTGAAATTCTCCAGCAGCTCAGTCGTACTACAAACTGTCAATATGAACGTCTTCGTTTGTAAAAGGCGGAAGAGGAAAAACGTCGAAGTGCGAATACCAGATTGCCGTTGTTCTGTATCGACCAAAACTCAATTTCGCGAATGACACATCGATCCGTTTGCAAAGCATCACAAGTGGCATTTATATATCGGTGGTAATAGTTATACGTTTCGTTGCATCGTTTCCACATACAATACGAATATTTTTTTGGTTTTGTTTCTATCGTTTTTGTTCATTTTGCACAACTTATTCACATCACGCAAATATTAATCCGTTTTCTAATTGATAAAGATGAAGTAAATGGAAACGATCGAGAGAGAGAGAGAGAAAGAAATTGCAAAGGAAGAAGAAGAAGAAACATTTAAAGAGAAAAAAGAAAAGAAATAATGACAAAAGAAAGAGAAATAAAGAAAAATAGCTCAACGACTAATTATAATGACATTCTTCATCAGCTGAAATGAAATGACTTCTTGAATTATGGGGCTTGGCAACCGAGATAAAAACAGAAATATGTTTGAAATCAAACGAAAATACTCTTGGCAACATCTCTTACATACTCTCTCACTCTCGGCAACCGACCAGATGCTTCGCAATGACATGGCAATGGCTTTCGTTTTGGTTAATTTGAATATTGCATTGCACTTGTTTTATTCTGCATTTTCAAAAGCCTAGAATTACAGTTGATGCAAGTACGTGAGAATTATTAGTTCACAAAAACAGAGGAAGAAGAAGAAGAAAGGAAGTGGAATGGAGAAGTGGAGAAGAGAGCAAGAGCGCGAGTGGCAAAAAAAAACAGTTGAATGATTTGTGCAAAAAAACAGGAAGATGTAAAAATAATGACGTCTAAATCAGTAGTCTTTGTGCTTTTTTCCGTTTCGTCAGCTTTTTCTGTTTGTAAGTAAACGCATTCTTGTGCCAAAGTGGATGACTACTAGGGTTATTTCTATTTTGTAAAGTTGGTTGTTGTTGCCTTTTTTTATTGTTGTTGTTGTTTGTACGTACAAATAAGCACACCATTCTCGTCTATTATTGTTGTATCGTGCTGAGTGTGCATGAGCAGAGAGTGAACGATAGAGATAGAGAAACCGGAGTCGTATGCATTCATTCGCAGCATTAAATGTGCATCCAACTTGTTTGTTTTAATTTGCGTTTCTTTTGCCTTTTTTTCTGCTTATGTTGGATTGCAATCCCTTTGTAAGTTACATTCATGAATGAACGAATTTCATGCAGACGCCTCGTTGTTTCGTTGTGAATTTCTTTTTTTGATGGCTCTTTTTTGAAATCAAAGTGCTCATTTAATGCAAAAATGTGAAATCTAAACTAATATCATATGTTTCAATTTTGTGTACGTATTATTTTCGTACGTTTATATGGCAATGGCACAGAGAAGAAATTTCGAGTGGCATCATTTCTTTCACACATTGTTTGACTCTCAGAATCAGTTTTTTTTTCTCAGCATTTTTTTTGCCCTTTGCATTTTTTACATCCCATTCAAATCTTCTTTTCATTTCACAATTCTCAAACATTCTTTTCCGCATTTCAACTGGAAATTCTTTTTTTTTTCGTTATTCGTATGCAACAGACTAGCACAAAACAGCCGTCCAACGGTTAATGGTTTTCATGTAATCATTTTTGTCCTTTCTCGTTTCTCTTTGCATTTGCAGCGGCTTTGCATTCGACGTCGACAACGATGGAGACGATCTCCTTGATAACAACAGCCAGTACAACCCTAATAACGGAATTTACGGTGAACACAACGCTAATAGGCAGCACATATGCAAGTGATATACAAGTAAAAAATAATGCAACGCTCGATGAACCGCCTGGTCTACGATATTCCATACCACAAACAGTTGTACTCGCTATAATTGCAACGTTGTTAAGTATATTAACGGTGGCGGGCAATGTGATGGTAATGATTTCGTTTAAAATCGACAAACAATTGCAAACGATTAGCAATTATTTCCTCTTTTCGCTGGCAATCGCCGATTTTGCCATTGGCTTAATATCAATGCCATTATTTACGGTTACAACGCTATTAGGTGAGTATCCCCCAGTTTCAGAATAGACCAAGAGTTTTTTTCGATAGAAAAAAGAAATGAAAAAAAAAAATAATTCCTCGAAAATGTTTTTCTCTTCAGGTTATTGGCCATTGGGCCCGTACGTGTGTGATACGTGGTTAGCACTAGACTATCTAGCATCGAATGCATCGGTTCTAAATCTATTAATTATTAGTTTCGATCGATATTTTAGCGTGACACGACCGTTAACGTATCGTGCTAAGCGTACAACGAGTCGTGCTGCAATTATGATCAGCGCCGCATGGGGCATTAGTCTATTACTGTGGCCACCATGGATTTATAGTTGGCCATATATTGAGGGTAAACGTACCGTACCACAATACGAATGCTACATTCAATTCATCGAAACGAATCATTACATTACATTTGGTACGGCGATTGCAGCATTTTATGTGCCTGTTACAGTCATGTGTTTCCTATACTATCGAATTTGGCGCGAAACAAAGAAACGTCAAAAGGATTTACCCAATTTGCAAGCGGGCAAAAAGGATTCATCGAAACGATCAAATTCAAGGTTAGTTCACTTACAATAATCCAATTGTTGATTCCGAAATTTTGAGTTTCTTTTGTTATATTCGCACACCATTTTTCACTTCTCTAGTTGCACGCGATCATTAAAATACAATAACAGTTTTCACCATTGTAGTGATGAAACAACGGCCGTAAATCATTCGGGAATGATTACACAAATCGCTTCGAGCGAATGCGATGCATACAGTTGGCGAAGGCCACGATCTGAATCATCGGCCGATGCAGAAAGCATGTACATGACCAACCCGGTGTTGTCGGATTCGGGATTTGCGCAGCAATCACGGCGCTCGAGCGTAAGTTATTCAATATATTTGCTGTATATAACAATGGGCCATAAAATAAATTATTTTTTTTTTCTTATTTTTTTCTCGATTTTTGCCTCATCACAGACGGCAACGGCTGGCGTACCGCCTGGATCGCAAAAATGCTATGGCGGTATTAAAGAATGGTGCGTTGCTTGGTGGCACTCAGGGCGTGAAGATTCAGATGACTATGGCTACGAAGCTGAGGAGCCATCAGACTTAGGGTATGACCGCTTATTTACCACAGAACAAATGACAGAAAAACAAAACAGTTCATTCCTATAAACAAAAGGCAAACATGGTTATTATCCACAAGCATTTTTTTTTCTTTTCTTTCCCCAAATCAGATACAACACACCCGTTTCAATAGAAACACCTATACAAAGTTCCGTTTCCAGGTAGTACAAACCATTAGTTGATTCCTTTCACACAGTAAAAACAGAAAAAGACACTGAAACATTCATTTCTCATGAATTGTTGTTGAATTCATTCAAATTAATCCGTAACCATTTGACTCAATCAGAATATTCTTTTTTTCTATTCTTCTTTTTTGGACGCATTCGCTCATCAGATGTACATCGTTGAATGTGATTCGGGATCCGTATTCGACAAATCGACCGGGGCTAGTTAGCATTATACCGGATGTATCACCAACTCCTGTTCGGCCACCACTTGCGCCGCTGTCGCAGTTACAGGAGAATGCATTCCCAGGTAAAATCCGCCGACATTTTATTCTACTGCGTCTATTTTATATTTTAAACTTTGCCTTTTCTAAATCATTTTGTTTTGTCTTTCTTCTTCGCACCTGATATTTAGGTCCACGAGACTCACGATCATTACCGTTGAATAATCGCCTTAGTTCGCGATCAGTTAGTCAGGATTCGGTGTACACAATATTGATTCGACTACCTCCGGATGGCGGTAGTGGTGATGAACGGGCACCGTCAATTAAAATGATTCAAGACGACGTACCATTAGCTCTGACGCATCCACCCAGACGGCCACTACCAACGCGAGACTCCGATCTGGGTGATGTGAAGCTCAATCTAGACGGGTAAGTTGAATTGAAAAACTTTCAAAACTTTTTTGTACACCATTTATTTCGGCTTAGTTTTTTTCTTCTCCTTCGTCTTCGAAACAAATACGATCACATTTGAACTTTGCAAAACTGTTTGATTATATTGTATGGCGCAAATAAATGCCGGTCGAAATCAACTGCCAAGTTTTCGTGTGGTGCATACAGATTTGCAATTCAGAAAATGAAAAAAAAAGATGAGAGAAAAAGAGTGCATGCCTTTCATGAAAACTAAACAATTCCCAGCATCAGATTGTGTGAAATGACAATAAATAGCAATAAAATATGTTGAGAAGGAGACATAGAGAAAAGTTTTCGGTCTCAACATGAAAAATAACTTTGCAGAATAGCATAGCTGTGTGTGTGTATTCCGGTGGCTGTTGCCATTTTAACGCAATTTGTTGTGTTCAATGTGCACAGTGCACACACGAACATAAAATGCCGACATTTGTTTTGTTGTGCCCCGAAAACAAAGTGCTCGATTTCTTTTTCCCTATGTTAATCCAAAGTGTGACAAGTGTCAATGTGTATCGGGAACTTTTTCATTTCGTCTCCGCTCTAATAAAGGGTGTTTCAATAAGAGTGTCCGAACTTTAAAATGAAATAAAACACAGAAAATATCCGAATATATCCGAGTTGTTTAATGTAATTTGTAGCCCTATTCATAACATTAATAATGGAAAATGATATCATCCAAATGACCGCCCCGGCTGGGTTTTAGTGACACCATCCGATCGGCCCAATTTTTGATGACATTTTGGCACATTTCGACTGGAACACTGGTGATTTCGTGACGAATGTTGGCCTTTAAATCCTCAATCGTCGACGGATTATTTGCATAAACTTTTCCTTTGATAAAACCCCAAAGAAAGTGATCTAATAGTGTTAAATCGCAAGATCTTGGCCGCCAATTTACAGCACCATTTTTCGATATTACGCGTTTGTCAAACTTTTCGTTCAAAACCTGGATTGTTGGTGGACTTGTGTGTGATGAGGCGCCGTCTTGTTGGAATAGGAGCCCACTGGTTCTCACCCGACGCAATCTCGGCCAGAAATATTCACGAATCATGTGTTGATATCGCTCGGCATTGACATTAACTCGCTGTCCATCTTCGTTCTCAAAAAAGTACGGGCCAATGACACCTCTCGGCCAAAAAGCACACCAAACAGTGCACTTTAGCGGTTTCATTTCAACCTCTTGAATGTGCCGAGGATTTTCCGCGTCCCAAATGCGACAATTCTGCTTGTTAACACAATGCGCCTCGTCGCTGAAGATGATTTTCGAGCCAAAATCAGGATCCGCTTTCAGTTGATCTAGGGTCCAATCCGCAAATTGTCGACGCTTCAAACAGCGCTGCATGGTTAATTTGTTGGACCTTACTGAACACATTTGTCAAATATTTTGAACGCTTGGATGCCCCTGGTCCCTATTGGAAAAATAGAAAGTTCAGACATCCATATTGAAACACCCTTTATACGTAATGGAACAAATTTTATGTGTCCCAATTTGAATATCGATTTAAGAAAATGTTCGCTTTAATACTTTATCACTCAAGAACTTAAAACATGCAACGAAAGATTTCGATTTTTTTTCTGCTTTCATTTTCGATGCACAAAATTCGAAAGGAAATGCATATTAGATCTTATTTCAGTGGTGTTTTCTCTTTTTTCCTGTACATTCTAATTATGTTGTGTGTGTATTTTTGTTGTCGTTTGCAGGGTGAAGCTGAATTCCGGTTTGCCGTTGAATCGAAGGTTGTCACATGCACCGGATATTCGAATTCCATTAAATGCCAAGATTATAACGAAAAATTTGGCCAAACCGCATCCTGTGCCTCGAGCCGCTAAAAAGAAGAAAAAATCTCAAGAAAAGCGACAAGAAACAAAGGCCGCCAAAACACTATCAGCCATTTTACTTAGTTTCATCATAACGTGGACGCCGTACAATATTTTGGTGTTGTTAAAACCGTTGACGGCATGCACAAAATGCATACCACAAGAGCTATGGGATTTCTTTTATGCACTGTGCTACATCAATTCAACCATTAATCCCATGTGCTATGCTCTGTGCAATGCCTCATTTCGTCGTACTTATGTTCGGATATTGACGTGCAAATGGCATACACGAAATCGGGAAGCGATGACACGCGGCGTGTACAACTGAAACAACCAAATGGCAAGTCATGCTTTTTAAAGGACTTTGCAATCAAACTCATAACACAAACCAACAGCAACAGCAACACAAACAAAATATGAAGAGAAAAAATGCACAAGTGTCATATTACGCAAAGCACTGAGTAATATAGAGAGATCAAGTGTGTGTGCTGAACACAATTTGAGACAATGTGAAATATTTTTCACGACAATTTTTAACAAGAATTAATAAAAAAAAGGAAATAATAAAATTTAAAAAAAAAAACCACTCTGAAATCGCACAAACAAATCGTTCAAATAAAATTTTTACAACAAACAAAACAAAAATTGTAAGAGAATTACCAAATAATATGAAAACCATTTATAGATGCGGCGACAAGCGCAAATGGAAATGTTTAACTCTAGACTAGCTTAGAATAATCTAAAAATTTATTAGGTCGCGTCGAATGAAACAATTTTCAACAAGACACACACACATTCTCACATACAAGATTATTTACATGACTACGAATTATTGTGTAGTGAATAAACTATGGTTTTCATAATTGCTGAAATACGAAAATCGAATATATGTCTCAGCCAGGAGCACAAAAACCAAATAAGAAAAAGGAATGTGAGGGCGGAGAGCTTAAAAACACACATACAAATTTAAGGAAAAAAATAATAATGAAAATCAACACCATGTCACTCAATCACACTCACAGCTTAGTGAAATTAGGAAAATAAAGATGGAAACGAAAAATTTGTTCAATGGCTTAGATTTAAAGAAAACAAAAATTGATTAGACAAAATTCCAATTTAAGGACTATTTATTGATGTTACGCAAGTAAGTTATGAAAAGATATGAAAAAAAAAAACAATCGATCAATGTTTCGACAAGACAAGAAAAAAAAACCACACACACAAATGAGAGAGATAGAGAGACAAATGAAATCAAGATATTTCGTTTGAATATACGTAGCAATAACTATATTAGTAAGGGAAAAAACCGCAAAAAAAAACAAACAAACACAATAAACGTTTACGCAAAATACAGATGAAAACCAAACAAAAAATCTACGCGCAATGTTCACATTGAAAGCGACAAGCATATGGATTTGTGAACTGAAGGCGTTATTCGATCAGACAATTCAGCCATAAGAGAAAGCTGAAAATGATGGCAAAGCAAGCTTGTGGTGAAGAGTGCAGTGGAGACAACAACTGTACTCACCCACTCTCATACACACACACACACACACACACTCACAGACACACTTACTCGCGCATTTCAAAAGTGCAAAACTGTATATCCGACAAATGATTGCTTTAATAAATGTTTATTATACACAGAGATGAATTTTTATTAAGTGAATATTAAATATTAAGAGAAAAAAAAAAGTTTATATACACAAACTCACATAAACCAACAGCAACAACAGTAACAAGAAAAAAAAAAACAATGAAAAGAACAGAATATGTAATGGTTATTGAAACAGAGGGAAAGTGGCAAGCGCATCCAAACACTACACAAGAGATGGCCATGTCAAATGGTACAGCTCCATTGATAGCTAAATTTCAAATGATAGCGCATTTTAATTCCGGGAAATTGATAAATCATAGCTAAAGGACGACTGAGCTAGAATAGTATTGAAAACCAAAAGAAGAAAAAAAAATACGAGAAATGCCATGAACCCAGAGATACACAGTACACGGGAAAAAGTGTCGTTGTACAATGTACATACGAACCGTTGCGACAAACAAATTCCCTCAGAATATTTTAGTTTCAAAGTGCAACATGAAATTCTTTTTTATATAGAGTTTACAACAACAACTCCATATGAAAAAAAAAACTTTATGTTGCACTTTAAAACTAAAATATTCTGAGGGAATTTGTTTGTCGCAATGGTTCATACATACAACCATGCCGCAAATCGAAAAATAGAAGAATTATGCTAAACAAACCAACACACATACACACATACACACAACCATTGTACTGTTACGTATCGAATCTGTATAGGGAATATACCTACTGACAAAATAAAAACTAATAAATTTATATTATTGTGGGAACACTATCTTATGTTAAACTCATGTTATTTGATAATTATATTGACAGAATGTAAAATCTGTTATAAAATATTCATAGATAAATGGAGAGCGAGCGAGCGAATGGCCAATATGAAAATAGAGAGCAACGTCAAAATGATTTTTTTTGTATAAGTGAACCAAATGAAGCAAGCGAGAACGAGATCGAGGCGAAAGAGTCAGAATTTTTATTTGGCATACCAAATTGAATTGCCAATCGAATGTTTATATTCCGTGTGGTACTAAAGACGGTTAATGTACAAAGCTTCTTCGTTTTCGGACGATACACAGCAAAATTTCAATGTTGTTTTTCGAATATCGAATTGATTTTTTTTAGGCGGAAATAATGTGGTTTCGAAATTTTCAACGAACGATTCAAAATACGAAGACAAAATAAATAAAAGAAAAAAAGATAAACTCACCTTTTAACCATTCCAAAAAAAAAAAAACAGTAAAAATATATTGATTTGACACATCGATTGCATTCCCACAGAAGAAGAATAGTAAAACTCTGTCAAGCACTTCCATTCGACCTCACTTACCGTAAACGCACAGCACACATTTAGATAATGTTCAATTTTCATAATGTACACAACAATTTCGTGCGCCAAGCAACATACATTTAGGACATTTTTACGATTTGACAACCAACCAAAGATACACAACAATTTAAGGAGAACCAAAAAATCTATGACAACATTAACCGTAGTCCGTTTAACCATATTTCACACGAGCAATGCAAACAACAAAACAAACAAACTCTCTAGTAAAATTTAAAAACGAACTATACCCAAATCTAACAAAAAAAAATATTTACCTTAAAATGGCAATAGGTGTTTTAACATAATTCAAATAATACATAGGTGTTGCTGTATGATAACAGAATGATGAGAAAAAAAGCAGAAAATAAAAACCAAAAACCATTTAGTACTGTATATTTTGTGACAACAACAAAGTATTTACTTACTTTTAAAAGAAGATGTACAACAACAACAAAATATTGAGCAAAAAAAAACACACGTAGTGATGCATTTAAATGAAGAGAGAAAAACGCGTCATGAAAATAATTTGAACAAAATTTTCAAATCACATATTTATGTTTACAAAATGGCATCAATCAAAGACCAGCAAAATGACAAACCATTCACATAATGTCAAGAAAAACTAAATGTAATTGCATTCATTGCGTTTCGATGGGATTGAAAGCATCAGGAATGACAACAACCAACCAAAAATTATGGAAAATAAATTGATTTGATTCAAAAGATTTAGTAACCACAAATGAAAATTCTTTTCTGTTTTATTTCGTTTCAAATTCACTTTTGGTGATGATTTTAATTTTCGTTTTTTCTTTCTTCTGTCTTCTGGTGTGAACAGCTAGGAAAAATTGGAAACGATGTGCTAAAATTGGCCTAATCACAGTGTCACAAATAAAAGCAATGAACTATTCTATGCATGTGTGGCTTCGACACTGATACACGGTCATTCGCACAAAGTAATTTAACTACGAATGCGTAGGCTTAGATTTCTTTCACACAAATCCAAATGAACAAACACATTGTATACATCGATTCTATTTGGCAAAATGTATATAAAATAAATCAAATGATAACACATGAAAATATATTGCAATAATTAAGATGCTAAACGATGGAAATGATCAAATTGTTGTGATTCAATTTAACCCATATTTTGGATTTCAATTTTTATTTCATGTTTTTTTTTTGTTCAGCTTGTCAAATTGTGCATTTTTGCTGAAAGCTTTTCTTCGATCTAGTTCAAATGAATAAATACGTTTCAATTTTGAGCGTTTTTTGAAGCGCAACAATTGTCAGCCCCGCCGAAAAATACATACGAATTCATCCACAATTTGTTTCATTTGAATTGACACACCGGATTATTTTATACGAAAAAATTAGAGTTTGCATCAACTGTTGTTTTTGTTCATTTTTTGATGGTGGTGAACAGGAAAACGTAGCCAAATACTAAATATTAATGATATGAGAAGTTCGTTCACGTAAAATAGATAATAGTCGATCGAAGCCGATTTAGAATTGAAAGAGTAACGAGCGCCGTTAAACAGCTGCCCTAAAACCAATATGAACAATAAAATGACCACTTAAACGACCCAAACGGCCTGTGAACTATTTCGCTTTTCGAACATTTGCAATTTGATTGCAATCGTCGCTATTGGTTTAAATACAAAACACGGTCCCTTGCAATTTACATTTCATCACACACACATACACACATACACACGCGCGCGTGCGCGCGCAGGACACATTCAAATGAAACAACTCACAAAGTGCATGCAATTGAATATTGATGAGAAATATCGTTATCTGCAAAACGCCACCAGCAAAATAAAATTCATTTGTTGTATTTGATAGTCAGTGCTGGGAATCCATTTCTCTAATGAATATTTTCGATAAATTATTTATGCATGAATGGCATGCAATGCTTAGTACCGAAATCGAATGAATTGCAATTGGAAAATGGCGTACAATTGGAATCGGTAATAATTCAATAGAAATATTCCGGTTCAATGGTTTAGTAAATGTTTAAAATTTCATACACAGTTTCAGTAAGGATTTAATTGTTAATGTCACAATCATTTCGATTCGAAATGGAAATAAACAAATATTTTTAAAATAGTATGAATCATTTTCATTTCAATGTGGATGTAATCGAAAACTAACTAAATGTCGTCGTTATCGCCTTTGCCGTTGCCGTCAAAAAAAAAAATTACAAAAAACAAAACAAAACACTTCAACTGAACCAAAACCAAATAAAAAGGAGAAGAAGATGAATGTAGCAAAATACCTTATTGATATCAAATAATGAACTAGAAACATGCATTATGCACCAAACATCCAAACACACATCGGATATTTGATTCGATGAATTTATTTTTTACTTTTTTATCATCAGTTAATCAATATTTTGCCTATAGGCAAATAAAATAATATTTCTTCTTCTTTTTTTCGTTAATTCCGTCTCGCTTTCACTTAAAATATCGAATTAGATAGCGCCAAAAACATGCCAACATCTATAACAATGCCTTTATCTATAGATAAAAGAAAATGAAGCAAATGATTTGTTTGAGATCTTATTAGTTCGCGGTACTGAATGTTTTCCCAAAGCTAAAACTTTGCTCAACAAGAAAAAAAGAAGTAAAAAAACAAACCACACTGTATATCTGTTTGTTTTTCAATTTCGTTTTTTTTTTTGTTGGTAGATTCCTTTTTGTAAGATAAATGATATTACGAATAAGGGGACAACAAATCGAGAAAAAAAAATCGCGAATATATTTTGATCAGAACTCAAATCACTAACTGTAGACAAATTTAAGAATACTTTAAATGTTGTGCATGTATTCCTAGAGAACACAAGAGAAATGAAAATAAAAACCAATATAGTTAAGCCAAAATGTGAATCAAAGTAAAATCTCAAAAGATGCAACTCTCTTCAACTAAAAACCACAATTCCTCATAGTTGTGTTTTTGGCATTTTATTTTTTTCTTCATTTTTTTTTCTTTTCGCACCTGGACTTCAGTTACCTGCAAATACATGATTTTTCAAATGGGAATGAACTGATTACACAAACACACACACAAGCTAGATGATACTAAAAAAAATGAAAATCCGCAACCAAATCAAAATCAAATGAAACCTGCAAATAACATAGTCTAGCTAAGTAACAAGAAATTTAATAAAAAATAGTTCTGGATGGCATTATTTTGGTTTATGTTCCTCCGAAACGGTGTTTTCTTTCCCAAGAAAAAACGGTATGTTGAACCACGTTGCAGTATTTGATTGAATCTAATAGCAAACAATTGTGTGGCAAATATAAAAAAAAATATGTGGGGGTGGCGATGTGATCCGAGTTTTTCGCCGGCTGAAAGAAAAAATTAAAAAATTCGTTTTTAAATTTCTTCAAGCGTTGTGATTACGACGCGCCATATGATCAACAAACATGCGCCATATGATGATAAAAAAATTATTTCGCCAATAATCACATATTTGTTGGAAACTTATTTTTCACGATCTCATCAAAGAAACATTTTCGATGCTAAAATTGTTTATCTAAAGACCAATTTTCCTAATGAACTCTTGTTAGGCATAAAATTTTGTTTTTTTTTGTATGTCAACGTATCCGATTTCCAACTTCAATTCTATTCTTGTGAGTGGTTAAATCCAATATGCGTAGAATATTTTCCTCCTTTAATATCCAATTTTTTTTTGTTGTAAGCAGAAGATTGACGTTCCGACAAAAAAAATATGACACACAATGATTGAGATTGCATCACGGCCGCACACACTCAACATAACGAATATGAATAACACACATGGTGAAAAGTGTGTTGAGAGAGCAATCAGAAAACAAATGTGTGACCGACAAACAGAAGCAAAAAAACCACATGCAAAAACCGTTCGGTTGAGGTCACAAGGATATCGAAAGAAATAGAATTGAAGATAAACTTGTTAATTTCCCTTTTTGTATGTTTTTGTTAACAAAATAAAAATCACATATATATAAAGAAAAATTATAAACCATGATAACATTTAATACACACACAACAACAACAAGAAGAAATAAGAATAAAGTGATTTATAATACTTATTGTATTGAACGAAATTGAATTATATATATGTATGTATATATATAATATATATATATATATATATATATATATATATATAAATGGAAGATTTCTTTTGCAAGAACAAC